ARCCCTCAGAGAGTTTAYCGTCTACTGCACGAGTAGTTCAAAATTTATGATTTATAGATATACGGCAGCTTTTGTTGTGGAAAATTTRTGATAAATATATACACCTAATTKCTAAAACGCCACAAAGAAATAGAACGGTTTGTATTTAGCAATTACGTTTTGGTAAAATCAAAAGTTAAAATGTTCAATTTCATAATGATAAAGTTTTAGTTTTATATATTTAAAATTCTTATATACAGCAATATGCAGAAATTATGATTGTTTTTGACTCATCTTCCAAGTATATATAAAATATGTCAGAAATTATGGGATATCATCACTGATATTTTTTGAAGTTGCCTAGCACTAGTACTTAATTCTGGAAAGAAATGATCAAATACAATGAAGATGATAATTTCTGCAAATTGCTGTAYTGACTTTAGAGGATTTTAATACTCGAGTGTCAAAAAACTATATACTTATAAACTATGTTAATTCTGTTAATTTCTATCAGGTTGAGATAGTATTATTTAAGTTAATAATAATTAAATAGCGCAAAATGCAGCTTTGTTTAGTGCAGTTTGCTTTATCATTTTGCTTATTGTAGTTTCTTACCTATGTACACAGTTTTCGGAGCATTAGTGACTAAAGTACCATATGAAACAACCATCGCAGAAACAAAGAACATGCACTGAAAGGCCAAGGAAAATCGTCTGACCATCATCCCACCCGACGAAGAGCCAAGGCTACTCTTCTTCAGCCAGGCAATCACTACAACAAGAATATAAAATTACAATAATGAAATCGAGCACGACTSTTACATATATTAAAGCGYTAATTTTGTTTTGCTCTCTTTTTATGAATCACTTTTTCCTTATTCAGAATTCTAGCTTCAGGCCTAGCGAAGCTGAATTTTAGAAATTTTGAGGTTTAGCTTGGTATATTTCAATATCTGCAATATAGTACAGGCATTTTCTTTTTTAATCTATGTCATCCAAATAATGATAGTATTGACAATAGAGTTCATTTCAGTGTTTTTAGGTGCGCGAGAATTTTTGATCATAAACTCATTCTAGAATTTACCGCCATTTTGAAATAGATCTGTTATGAGTTACACCTACTTACAAAAACGTTGTMATAGAATCGTCATAGAAAATAGAAAAATTGAATTTAGTACAAAARGAATAATTAAAACAAGACAAAAGAGAGTGTTTAGCCCCAGTGATCTTCTTTTGTCTTTTAATTTATTCCTTTTTACTAAATACAAATGTCCTATTTTCTATGACAACGTTTTCGCAAGAAGGTGTACTTTGAGAAATTGCAAAGTGTTTTCACATTTGCCTTGCTTGCAAAACAATCTTTTATTTTATAATATATTCGAATTTATTTAGAAAGAATCATTTTGGAAGAGGGATTTCTTCATCCGAACGAAAAACGCTGATCAATTTTATGATTTATGGCTTGATTGCAGGCTAACATTTCACAGCTGTGAAGTGTAAGTCAGCAATAGCCACAAATGGCTTCAAGTGGGCCCAGCTAGGGKCAATTTCTTTTGCTAGTGCATTGAGGACTCAATGTCCAAATGACTCTTCAAAGACCTTGTCTGAGATTGTACGTGTTGTCAAAATGACCCCAATTTTTGTATTTTTGAAAAATAGATGTCTTCTAATGCTATTCGAAAACAACAAAATATTCCACAGGAAAAAAAGCCATGCTGTGGACAAGCAGAGTAAACATATCATCAACAATGTTCTACCTGTTAAGAAAAAAGCTTTCCGACTAAAATACCAAAACCACAACAGGTATCTTATATTAAAACAGCCCTTTTCCAAAGACCTTTGCCGAAATAAAAAACAGCTTAATTTTCGTCATAACTTATTGAACGAAAAGGAATGTTAGACAATCCTTCTAGTTAGTGCTCCAATTTGTCATTGTCACTTCATGGYTTATTCTTTAAATTATTAAATTATTTTCTTCTCCTTAAAAACCTTGACATGCTGATATCAATTATTCTGAAATAGCACAAAAAAAACTCTTTTTCTATTTCGGCGTTGCTTTCAAATTCTAAAAACCACAGCTTTGGCATTTTGGAATTGTATTACCAGCCGCTTTTTTCGGAATGCGAAAAGGGCGCAATCGCCTAGGGCATATTTTWAAATTTTTAAATGTTTTCTTAGTATAAGCCTGTGGATATGAAGCGCATATCAAGYCAGAACAACGAAAATTTTTTTGGATAAAATCAAACAAAGGTTGTTTTCCTTATGCCTGAAATATTTTGAGTTGAAATAAGCAGTTGAACAGGAAAACGATTTTTCCAAATAAGGGACCACATTGTGATCGCAGGTTTTAYAGCATCGAATGCAATGCAAACCACAGAMAGAAAAGTTTCGAGTTATTAAGAGTGTAAAGGCGTTAGACAGGAACATAAAGAATCTTTTTAGAAGCTCTTCAAAGCTTTTCAAAGCGTTTTACTTATAAAGCAAGAGATCACAATTTTTCGGAACAATTACAATGTTGCAGCCTTCGGATGTTTATCTTAAAGAGTTACTCTTCAAGGCCCAATAATTCAAAACAGACGTTTTGTTTTGCTTATAATATATCGAACACAAAAGAAATTTCATTGAGTTTACAACTGAATTTGAATGTCTTGGGAAGTGCATATTAAAAGTACAAGAAGGCAATATTCTATTACAAAACTCACGTTGAGTGACAGACACAATATCAAAGGTTTTCTTGATGTAGGCGGTGGATGATTTTATCACATCTTTTCGTGGATTTGGAGATTTTTTGGCTGSTGCTCTTGTGCGAAGTGARCTCTGTGTCAGCAATTGAATAAATCACCGTAAATAATCGATTTCCACCGCGATAAAGAGAATGTATTGACATCAAATGTGGTCATAAAGAAATGGTAAATTTAGATGATTTTTTTATCGTGTAATTTGGGTATGGTGATTTGGTATATGAGGTAAATAATATGTGAATTATTGAAGAATAAAATGACGAAAATGCTGAATTAGTGACGGAATAGCTCACATAGAGAAACTAATAAAGCTGTGATTCTTTCTTGTTTCATGATTATGAAAAAACTATTACTGAATTGATTCTTTAGCGGTGGAAAAATTCAATAAAGTCTTATCTTATTTCCACATTTATCATTTTTAGATTTAAGAGATAACAAGAAAAACACTTTTTCTTTTTTCACCAATTTGCTACTTTGGCACGATGACAACATGGAGGGAGTCTTTTAAATATCTTTCTCCTGGTTCTATTCTCATGCAATGTTGACTTACCTTGGAAAGGTWATCTGTTGTTTCTTGACMAGCTTTAAATTCACGCAATAAAAAATGAGACGCAAACAGGAWTCATACTTGAGAAGTGGTTCTTCATTCGGCAAAATTATCCGTTGTAGAGCGTCAAAAAAAGCGATTKCACGATGTGAAAAGCTATGGGTCGAGGGGCGATGYCCTGCTGYGACAATCAAGAGTTGTGGTTGGCTTCAAAGCTGGTCGCCTATTGCTTGAAACTAATAACAATTTAACATAATTTTCGTCTCACTAATCTTTAATAAGTCAAGCTTAGAACTATTCTTAAGCTTTTGTTTTCGACAACATTGATTTTGGAGCAGACTAACTTCACAAATCGGTTGGAAAAAAACCGTCGACAATWTTMATACAGTGAGAAGAYGGTATCTTTTGTTATTATTAGCTACTCTCATCAACGTTAACATTTTCACGATTAAATGAAATTATGTTTGTAATTGTACTCCAGAACATGAGTTATCAGCTACCGTTGCCAATAACCTATTTGCTTTACTTTATAGAGCGATAGCACTCAWGCAGACTGATTGAATTTCGTTCCACTTAGAAATAAAAGAGCCCTCCGCATCTTCGTAGACTTTACTGAATTTTTTTTACCAAATTGCAAATATAATAAGCCTCTCAACAATGAAAAAAATTATTTTYCGCGGATTAATCAGTAAATTAATGAATTTAAAATGATCATAACGACTTGGTTATAGCTAGGTAATTATAGGATAATTCTTTTCCACTTTTGGTCATGCAATCATCAGAATCTACTTATATCATGCGCACGTTATTTTGAACGTTTTGTTCCTAAATCATTTTCGTGCTTTTTATCAACTTTTTAACATTCATTTTTAAATTATTATTTTATTTYTATTCCTTTTTTATTTTATTTTTCTTCTCTTTTATTCAATATTTATCTTATTATTYTMAGTATGCTTAACTATAGTGATAATRATAACGATRGCAATTGCATTATCGATATTATATAGGATACTTTCAACATTTTWAAATAAATTCCTAAAAAAATTTCTATCGATTGTGGTAAGTTTGTCTTATTTAATGGGTATATCAACATTATAAAGGACTGTCGAAAGTTGAAAGAGCAATTCGTCGTTTCAAGGCTAATGCCGCCATTCGAATTCAACTGCATCCCTTAGTGAAAAGCTCTCACATCAACATACCCTTATCAAATGGCACAAATAATTAAGTCAATTTTGCTGTTTTGATACCTATCCATTGAGTTGTTAAAAAGATATGGCATCTGTTCTTCAATAATATAGAAATTAGGTAATACCTAATAGCGGAGCTCCAATAGCAAAACAGAAGCTGAAAGAGATTATCTATACTATAGACTATAGTACTACTATTTCAAAGATAGCCTTATTAGTAGAGATGCGCTGTTTCAAGGAATGTTGACATGCAAACAAATATTCTAAACATATTTATTCATTTTAGCTTAAGAAATAGTATGTTTATGAGAATTTCGTACTCTAAATTTAATATTGACTTCGGTAGATTTTATAACTGAAAGCTTCTCGGCAAAAATAATCTACATAAGCTTACAATAATCAATCGGAACAAACGCGGCAAAACTTCGATGTTTGAACGCTTCCCTACTCGAACTTCACATAACAGAAAACTGTATAAGTTACAAAAATATTTTTTTAACCTTTATTATAATTGAACTTCCGATAAATTATCGTTCAATAGACATCTTCAACAGAACCATACTTGTTTCAAGGTTTCATCAATTTATAAAGTCATTCAAGGCTGTAATTTTGTTGATTCTCTGTGTTTTTAAATCTCTCAAATCTCTCTCAATCGAGTAATGCTGATGATCTTGGTTTCAGCGAAATATCTACACTTCTTGGCAAAAAAAAAAATGATATACACAGATTGTTGCTTTTCTCCATATTTTTTTCAGTATTTTCAAAATAGCATCATCTTTTTCTTGTTGTCGAAAAGTCAAAGCGAAAGTAAATTGCTTTTCATCTTCGCAAATCGATTTCCCGGATGTGTAGACGCGTCGTAGTTTTGACAAAATTGGCGGGAATATTTCTGTGCTTTGATTTTTCTCTCCTCTGGATTTTTTTCTTGTGATTTATATTTTTTCTAATATTATCAATTATTATCAATTTGGTTATCAACAAGTGTTTGAGAAAAAAAAATCGATGTTTCAACAAATATTTTGGCGCTTTTGGAGTATGGTTTTCCTGTGGTGGTACACGGACGCCGAAACGTGCGTACGTACGGGAGCCCTGTGTCAGTACATCGAAAATCGACTCGTTAGCTATGGTGCTTCGCTCGCGCGCGGGAGCTCCGCTATAAATCTATCCTTCATGAGTTTGTCAGGTCTCTTGTGATTGGAGGAATAAAACAATACCCATTGTTTCCTTGCTTTTAATTTCTGTTGTTTTCTTTTATTCAACAAAAAGCTAGTAAACTTCTATCGGATAAGATCTTGCAAAAACGTGAAGGGTACCCATGTAGGTAGTTGTTTTCAAGTGGGAGTGCTTTGAATTTGCGTCCTCTTGAAACTGCTATAAACCAAAAGTGTATAATTAATAGTTTGATGATCATTAGTGCTCAAAGACCTATCTGACGATCTTCTGGATTCGCAGAGCAACTCTAATTACATCATGGCTAACGTGGTGTCTGGGATATTTTCGCAAATCGATTTCCCGGATTAGCAAACGCGTCGTAGTTATGACAAAATTGGAGGGAATATTTCTGTGCTTTGAATTCTCTCTCCTGTGGATTTTTGGTTTGTGAATAATTTTTTTATTATTATCAATTTGGAAGATAAATGCTTGAGGAAAAAAGTTCGATGATTCAACAAATATTTTGGCGTTTTTTTCCCTTTTCGCGCGGAATATGGGTTTCCTGTAGTGGTACAGGGACGGAAGGAAGGACGGACGGAAGGACGGAAGTTCTAGCTTGTCCAATACATCACAAAAAACGCGATACTCAATAGCTGTTCTAGTTGAGAGCGAAACGAGAACCTTTCTTTTTGATTATTGGGCTGTAATATTTGGATTTACTGGCAGAGCGCATGATACATTCGATCAACTTTTCAATTCCATTCCGTTAAGTATCAAAAGTTTAATTAACGAACGTCACTGTTATAACACACGATGCACAAGATCTGCGGTTCAAGTCCATGTACAATCAACACTAGAGTTGGATCAAAAAAGGCACTTGCTGATTTATACGTTACTTTGTTGAGCGTAAGGTATGGAGAGTTTATTTATGGTCTATTGGTTCCAGAAATATTCATACATGATGTATAGTGCTTTTAGTTATTTTCTTAGATTGTGTACTTTATATTTATGTAGAATACCTTTCTCAACTTCAATTACACTGACCTAGTTTCGATCATGTTCTGACTTCCATTTGATGATAAATATGGTAATTTCTAGGAGAGGCCGACGGACTCCTGGGGAGGAATATATCTGTTCTTATGTCCCAGCCAGCTGTAAGTCACAACTGGTTGCCAGCGAGAAATTCAGGAAAAAAGAACTCTCAACGCAATGAATACTTTCTAAGATTTTCTGGCAACGAATAATTAGTAGTAGTGCAGTAGTGTTCTACTTGCTCTATATCTTTTGCATTACATCGATGACTACCCTTGCCACATCAGCGCAATTTGGCTATCAATCTTTTGATGCCGGCTTGTCGTGGTTTCTGGGACTATAGCATCTCTCACTTGTTTGAGCGATTTGAAATAAATGTATGCTGTCTAAAATTTTATTTAAAGTTCTATATGTCTCTATATAAAATTTCTTTTGTAGTTCGTGCTGCCTCCCACCCACTCCCTCAAACACTGGGGGAAATCGCGCAGGTTGTAAATTTGATGTAAATATTAGGTAAGTGTCCAAAATGATGCAAGTTTGATTTAAAAGCTTTATATCAAATTTGCGTCATTTTGGACACTTACATGATATTTAAAGTGCGCGATTTTTTCCAGTGACACTAATATTACAATGATACTACAAGGAGCACAAAAGTGAACGAAGTTAGTTCAGACATTGACCAACCATTTATTGTATAAATCAAATGCGTAACATCGTTCAGTCAAGGAAGCAACAATCAATCGCACGAGACCACTGCTGGCGAAGGACAATTTACGCCCGTAATATATTTGTCACATATTGGACTGCAACAATATTGGCCTTCGTATGGATTTATGTCCACCATTTTGCCATTAACCATTGTAGGAATGCCTGTAGACAAAGAAAATTAGATGATCAACATCTTTCAAGCAATCAATGTGGGTTGTAAGGTAGTATAGCTCTATCCATTTGATAAATCCTTAGTATCCATGGATAATTTTTTCAACCTGTCGTACAATTCACTGAGACCGTCCAAGATTTGTTGGTTCATGGGTTTAGCTAATAGTCTTATAGCTAATAAATTGTCTTTTAGAGAGAACTTTTTGAAGCTGCTTGACTACAAAAAGTTATATAAACGCATTACATATACAAAACATTATTAGTAGAGATTTTGTGATAGTACTCAGAATAAAGAATAACACATTTAAATTATGAGAAACAGAGAGAAAAGAAAAACACTCGAAACCTACATCAAAGAATTGAAGAACACACAACGCAGGTCTCCGCAACTCGAAAACACATGACACAGTACAAAACACATAACTACAGTACATGGGTACTGGTTAAGCCCGCTATCGAGAGATCGTTCACCGTATCGCGACGATACTTAAAAGCGCTGTAAGAAGAAATCAATTGTCTAATATTCGGAAAAAAGGAACAAGGTTGAACGTACAATCAGACTCGATATGCGCCAAGGTGTTTGTGTAGTTGTGTCCAACATCTATTTGACATATTGTTTTTGTTGCTATGTTGTTGTACGACATATAAGTACAGAATTTGGATCTTATTAAAATACTTGAAAATGAAGTCAAGATGACTTCGAAACGTCATAATCTAAATGAGTTACTCTTTATTCTGAGTACATATACAAACCCCAATATCATAATGTTATACCCCCGAGGTTCGATTTTTCCACTCTTCTCTATTTGTTTTGTTGTCGCGAAGCGCTCTTTATCGGGCAATATTGCTTGCTTTTTGACAAGCTAAGCAGCAATAACCTAGCATTTACATTTTGTTCAAATTCTAGGTAAAATATAATTTAAAGAGAAATATAATATAAAATATAATTTAAACTGTGATCTCTTTTCTCAATTTATATTTTTCTTGGTGAAGACTTTGCCTTTTTTCCCCTTTTTTACATCAATAGTGAAAACTTAAAAACGCGGTGTTCTAAATTATTTCTTTCTTTGGCATTAGAGTCCTCTAACCCCGTGATCCGTGACTTGGAATGTAAGAGTAGAAAATCATAAATTGTTAGTGAATATAATGCATAAATACTTACAATGGCCATCGTTTTGCTTTGCATTATCATGATTCCCTTTGTGTCGCGAACTTTTGTGTTTGTCTGCAACTGGCACAGTTCTGGCAGCGCTGCAATCAATTGTACTCTTTTCTACATTAATACCCAGGCTGGTCATCTGCTTGATTTCTTTAGGTGTACAATTCACAGCCTGTCGGCGAGCTTTGAATATAAAGAAATAAACGCATTTAGCATACAGGAAGATAATATGGTCTGAAGATTTGACAAGAACATGCTATCTTTTTCTAGATTAAAGTAATTCATAGAGTCTCGGCCACTGTTGCACGCTCGCGAAGGGAGAATAAAGTAGTTTTTTTTACGAAAATGTTAGCTGTGAAGTGAAGTATTTTACACATGGTGTTAAATTTATCTTTTTACATAACTTTTTCTTTAGAACACCGAAGCACGCGCAGCTCACACTATATGACCACTAGAGTACAAACACTAAAAAAAGCCGTTGCACACACTTAATGTTTGTACTCTAGTTTCAACCATTTAATCCGACAAACGTAACGGAGTGTCTAAACGTCAGGCAGCCCTGACGTTTAGTCCCAGGACTAAACGTCAGGCAGTCGAATTTTTTCTTTAAAAATCGTCGAAACAACCGTAATTTCAATTAATACAACAAGGGGAATGCAATAAAGACCTTAATTATATCCATTTTGAAATCACAAGTGAATCCTGCAATCTGATTGGTTCTTAGCAGGTTGATCTCAGCCTAAATCGCACCATTTTTAATTCTTAATCGCACTCCTTTGAGGAGCCAATCACAATGCAAAACAAGTAAAAGGCAACCAATCACATTACAGGATTGTGTGTGGTTAACCAATCAAACTACAGCAAAAAGGACACACAAAGAGTACGTTTTTAGGTTTTACAGCAAATATTTTTATGAAAATATATGTGCAAATTGGATTATTTTAGTTCTTACTTACAGTTTTAGATGACAATGTACCATCTCAGTGTAATTTTTCATCATTTGCTACTTTTAAATCCTGACGAAAGTGTAATTNTGAATTAGTCCCAGAACTAAACGAGAGGCAGTCGAAAAATCCGGCTCAAAGTGCCGCGTGTTGGTGTATACAAACTTGTCGAACAGTATTATTTCGGTCTTTATTACATTTCTCTTGTTGTATTAATTGAAATTAAAGTTGTTTCGACGATTTTTCGAAAAAAAAATTCGACTGCCTGCTGAAGTTTAGTTCTGGGACTAAACGTCAGGCAGTCGAAAAATCTCAAAGTAAACTTGTCGAATAGTATTATTTCGGTCTTTTTTACATTTCTCTTGTTGTATTAATTGAAATTAAAGTTGTTTCGTTGATTTTCGAAAAAAAGTTCGACTGCCTGACTTTTTGTTCTGGGACTAAACGTCAGGCAGTCGAAAAATCTCAAAGTACCGTGCTTGTGTTTGAAACTTGTCGAACAGTATTATTTCGGTCTTTATTGTATTTCCCCTGTTGTATTAATTGAAATTACGGTTGTTCCGACGATTTTTAAAGAAAAAATTCGACTGCCTGACGTTTAGACACTCCGTTAAACAAAAGATAGTATAACTTACAACGTCCATGACCGGCAATGGCGCCTGCTAACATAATAACCAAGCATCCTGTTATCATCATCAAGGAATTCATAGTGTTGACTTATTAGACTGGTATAGGCGTAGTCTATGACAAAGGATATTATAACTAACTATTGTTCATCACTAATATAGTTAAGTAAGGGTATTTACTGATAGTTTTTGCCTTTTACCTGTCGAGCTTAACGTGACTCAACTTCGAGTTTCCACCAAATGAATGGGTTTTATTTCGTCGAGTGACTATATCGACTATACGTTCATTGTTCAGTTATGCATATCCAATGACTTTCATAAGGTTTTTACTCTGTAACAGTTACATATTACTGGACATTAAAATTCCTTATGTGTATTCACCATGCTACTAAAAGAGAGCTTTTGACGATTAATAAAATTAACGGTCTGCATAAAAAATGATTTGTGTTACCACAACGTAAATTATCTAAATTTTTCTCAGGAAAACCGGCGAGGAATCAACATGAGTGATTGTAAATAAAGTGGAAATTATTATCTCACTTATATTTTGCACTATGTATCTCTTTTTAAACAAAGCCAAATAATTTTTTTTAACAAAAAACGATTTCTCTATAGTTCTTAATAATTCAAACATTTTTCATTCACGCATCGACACTTCAAAATCGCGATATCCAATTGATCACCAATCATCCGTTTTTTGACCTGTTTTTTAAAAAGAACTTTTATTGATGATGTGAGAAAATAAAAAATTCCTTGAAGTAAATAACTTAGCAGACAAGCAAGAGAACGATGGAATTAAAGGGCATTGTCCCCCAGCATTGAAAGCGGTCGTGTTTTAGATTTTTCCCCATATATGGAAAATGAGGTGACTTCAAATATTCATTTGCAATCCGTTGCCATCCATCGGTTTAAAGGTCGAATCTTACCAATTTCCATTCATAGAGTATAAAGGGATAATAAAGAGTAAGTTCAGTTTTGCTTATATTACGATGTATTTTTATTTTCAAACATGCAGAGAAAAAGCTCGAAAATTGATGATGGTGGACCATGTCCCTTTAAAGCAAACAAAATTTCGATGGACATAGTTTTTAAGGGCATTGAGTTTACGCAGATTCCTAAAACTTTCTAAAGATGACCTTTAACATACAAAAAAAAACAAAAACAGTGTGTCTCCTATAAAGAAACAAGTGTCATTTGTTCATTTGTCTGCCTACCTCTTCTCCCCCCAGCGTTTTTAAGAAATAATGATTGATTTAGCGATTTAGTAGTTTTATCTAGCTTTTGCCATATATGCTTTGACCAGTAGTGATCGTTTAGGTTACTTGTATTTCGTTATCCGGTATTATGATTCCTATTTTTATATCGGTTTATTACTCACTTTAGTTATTGTAGGGATTTGACTTGAAAAACACTCGAGAAGCAAGAGAAACGCTCGCTACGCTCGTGTTCCTAAGCTTGCTTCTCTCTTGTTTTTCGAACTCCCACCGTGTTTATATTAGAGGACAGAGACACGCGCGACGTTTTATATTTCTTACATAAAGATGCATTTGTTATTATTTTTATTATTTCTGCATGATTTAAAAATACCAAAACTGTCAAAATGCATTTAATATTATTTATAATTCCTGTATGATTGAAAAATGTCAAAGTTTCAAAATATATTAATAATTTTAATTATTAAAAAATATTAATTTATTATTAATCTATTAATTATATATTATTTATTGTTAATTATTATTATTATTTATTATTAATTATTTAATTTATTATTTATTTATTTTTTTAAAATATTAATTTATGATTTCTGTAAGATTATCCATATGGAACTTATTGCCATACATCGGGTGTCATTTGCTTGGAATATTGTCCAGGCTCACTCATGCATCCATGCATGCATGTATATATGCATGTAATTTATTTATTTACTTCATGAAATATAATACAATGGAGTTAATAGCCGAGTTTAGATATTTTGGTTCAGTGACCATGCACAAAAGAATTGCAGACGAGGCTCCGGGGAAATAAAGAATAAAACGATATTATACGCTCTTTGATTGGTCATTTTGAAGTGTGCACTTCAAAATAACTCTTTGCAATATAAAAAAAAATAAAATTATCAATGGATAATCTTGATTTATTCTTTATTTCCCCGGAGCCTCGTCTGGAATTCTTTTGTGCATGGTCACTGAACCAAAATATCTAAACTCGGCTATTAATATTTTGTCGTCGATCGACCTCATTAACATCATCATCTGACCATTAAATACTATTAATAGCAAAGTCACCTCTAGAAAGGAAAGTACATGTACATATAATATCACAGTTACGTTCACTGACTGATATAAATTTTTCAAATATTGAATTAACACAAAACTGCATAGTTTTGAGTACATTTTCAACATATAATAAGAAAGCAATAATTTGAAAAATTCAAGTTTGATTTTTGTCGCTTGTGCCTACAGAAGTAGTCTCCTTTGCATCCGTTCATTGTCGGGACAGGAATCCCGAAACGCAAACGGATGCGAAGCAACGCCAACTCTTCAAAGGCGAAAATACGT